GGTTACTGTCATAATTCCAGAACCATGTGGGTCGTTAAGTGGGAAGAGGTGGGAGTGCCAGGCAAGCAGGCCATGGATGTGTGCTGTGGGCAGGCGCTATGGAGCTGGGCAGGTGCATGGGTGCTGCGGGGGGCGGGGTGTTGCTATGGAGTGCGGGCATGCAAAAAAGCTGAAGGAACAGAAGTGACTTCCTGCCAGCTTCCCCAATGATTTTGCTTGTGGAAAGTCGGCACGGAACTCCAGAAATCTCAATCAATAGATATGTAGTTATTTCTGGTAACCCTTAATGGACTTCTGCTGATAAGGAATGAACAATGAGGCTTTTGGATTTTATTTATAGTTAAGAGATGAGATATGGGACAAAGAGGGCATTTGTTGTATTTTAAGAGATGGTGATAAGTTACTAACATTGTTTATACTTGTGATGAAGGGAGAAGTTACTTCTTTATATACTTTCTTTTTTTATTTTATTCTTTTTAATTTTTTTTCCTTTTCTACACTTTTCCCCCTATTTATGCACGCATGCATGCATGCAATTTCTATAGCCACCCATCTCAATCTAAGTGACTCTGGGCGGTGAACAATTTCAATCATTAAAACAATTAAAACAATTACAAATTATACATATAGGCAGTCGAGAATTATAATAATTACATAAAAAATAACAGTCGAACCAGGTAACGGGACCTCTCACGCTTTTAAAGCCTTATGAAAGGTAAGCAGGGTCTCGGCCATCCTGAGCTCCAAAGGAAGGATGTTCCAAAGGGCAGGGGCTACTACTGAGAAGGCACGCCTTGTGGTCCCCACCGGCTGACATTCCTTGGCTGACAGAATATGCAGCATCCTCAATCTACTAGACCGAATTAGACAAGTAGAAACTATTAGGAGAAGACGGTCCCTTAGGTAACCCAGTCCTAAGCCATTCAGAACTTTAAAGGTGACATACAACCAGTACCTTGAATTGCACCCGAAACATACCGGCAATCAATGCAGCTCCCATAGTAGTGGTGTTACATGTGCCATATATCTGGCACCATTTACTACCCATACAGCTGCATTTTGCACCAGTTGAAGCTTTCAAATGCTCTTCAAGGGCAGCCCCACGTAGAATGTGTTGCAGTAATACAAACAGGAGGTAACGAGGGCATGAGTGACTGAAGAGAGCCTCCTGGTCCAGGAATGGGTGTAACTGGTGCACAACCCGAAGGTGTGCAAAGGCCCTCTTAGCTACGGCTGCCCCCACTCTTTGAGCAGGAGCTGCAAGTTCAAGAGGACCCTCATATTGCACACCATGGGGCAGTGCCACCCCATCCAAACTACCAAAGTAGTTTGTATTAGTTCGTATTATTTTAATTGTAATCTCTAATAAAAATGATTATATATTAAAAAGGAAATTGCAATCACGTGACCATGGTTCACTGTGATGTCATAATTGTGAGCCAGGCACCAAGTGCCCAGATTGCAATCACGTGACCGCAGGAATGCTGCGAAGGCTGAAACTCCGAGGACTAATTGTAAGTCCCCCTCATTCAGCATCATCATAACTTTGAACAGCTGCTAAATGAGTGGTTGTAACCAGAGGACTACCTGTATAATGGTCGTAACGAGAGGACTACCTGTAAAACCATTCATGAAACTCTTTTATAGGTTCTAGGCTCAACTATTTTACATAATTTAGATAGATAATTTAATGAATCTAATCCCAGTATTAGTTTTAGACTAGGCACTGTGTTATGTTATTGACAATTTGCTTTTCCCCAAGCTGTATTGTTAAAAGCAGAATACAGAACAAATAAAATTGCAATAACTAAAACGAACAAGCCAGCTTTAAAAATTTAGAAACAGCAGAATACCCTTCCCCCTCCCCCAATTTAAACAAATGCATTAAATACTGAATGCTTCTTTAAGTAAGCAGGGTCCTGAGGTGTCATCTGTCCAGATGGTAAGATTGGCTGGAGAGGCCCTCTTTAAAAAACTCCTGAATTCAAAGGCTAGATAGAAAGGACAGGGCTTGGAGAATGAGGAATCCATTAGCTGCTCTGAGTGGTCAAGGGATTTAAATCATCATCATCGGCAATGGGAAAAGCCATAGATTTTCCAGGCATAAAAAATATTGCTCAGTGTTGACATCATCAATAAAATAGGTGCTTCTTGTACCCATCCATCTTATCCCTAGTAGGCCTCTGAAGCCATTGTCAGTGCTCGGCAGGTTAATGGAGTGAGACTGATCTTGGATAATCTAGCCTAAGGCCATTAAGTGCTTTAACAATCATCAACTGCATTTTATACTGAACCCAGAAACAACAGAAAAACAATGGAGCTGGTAGAAAATCACAGTTCCAAGTTGACTGTTGGGAGTTAGCCAACCAGTGGTCTAGAAAAGGATTAGTTTTGCCTTATTTAGATGGTAATAAGATCTTATACAGAGGGGTAAAATTTTGCATGCATATATCACTTATTACATAATTCCTTGCCAATGCTTATGCTGCATAAAATTACTTATTGTATTTTTTTGTGGAGGAGGAAGGGAGATTCTTTGCTATAAGCCTGTACAATTATTGATTCATTCAGCTGAATTCTATTCATCACCCATATAGAGTGGCCCACCTCCCATTTTGCTGCTGGAGCTGTCATGCTTCTAGAATACAATAATATAGCTATCACATGAAACAATCTGTATGCATGTATTTGTATGCATGTTTTTGTTTGGAAAAGGAAGGCTTGGAATAGCTTTCAGCTTGTAGGCACTGAAATATGCCTCTTTCTACCTGCAGGGCAAACTGCAAGAAGAAATCAGAACAATCAAACACCTCATTTTTGGAAGACAATACAACATCAAATATTGGGACTGTCCAGAAATTAATAAGGAAGTAAAATTAAAAACTGAAAGTGTGACTAAACTAAACTAGAAAAATGTTAAAATTGCAACTAAACTAACCAATCTTCTAATCATAATATAAAAATACTTTACAAAATACTTTAATGACCAAGTATAAAATATATACAAGGAATTTGTCTTCGGTGACAAACAGCAAGATCAATGGTGCGTTGATTGTGAAGCCACAAGGGATTTAATGTCAGTTGAAGCCCAATATGAAGAGCACCCTGACAGGAAGTCCTCGTCTAACAACCACAACTGGGACCAGAATCTCAGTCACTGAGCAAAGCGGTTGTTAAGCGAGACACCCACGTGATTGCTTCGCTCAACGATCGCAACCCACGCATTCCCAGTTGCAGTTGTTGAGCAATCTCCCAAGTCATTAAGTGGACAGAGCAAAAGAGCTGTCTGCTGAAACCCATGTAGAGCTGAAATCCTCCCAGTAGGCAGCCCTTTCACTCTCAAATGTTCCTAAAGCCTGCCGAAGGGTTTGCCCTCCCCTCCATGGATGGAGGGGAAATCCTTCCTGAGGATGGAGGAACAGAGCTCAAATCTTCAGGATCTGAGCTCCATTTCTACCTACCCACCACTGAGGGGAAGAGGAAACACCTTGGTGGTGTGAAGGAACAGAGCTCAAATCCTGAAGATTTGAGCTCTGTTCCTTCACATTGGTGAAACCTGAAACCACCCACCGCGGAGAGGGGAAGGAAAACCTGTCAGCGGTGTGAAGGAACAGAGCTCAAATCTTCAGGATTTGAGCTCCGTTCCTTCACACCGCCAAGTCCCCAATGGGGAAGGCAGCAGAGAAGATTGCAAATGGCAATCACATGATTGTGGGGTGCAATAAATGCATAAATGCAAGCTGGTTGCCAAGAGTCTGAAATATGGCCACATGACCATGGGGGGAGGGTGGGACGATGTTTTACAATGGCCAAAAGTGCTTTATGGGCTGTAAAGGACCCTTTCTGAGGCCACAGTAACTTCAAACCATCGTTAAACAAATGGTCGTTAAGCAAGGACTATCTATATTTCATTTCTAACTTTTAAAATAAATAGTTAAGTAAACAAAGCTAAATATGAAATGTACAAACACAAAATTATTTAAGAAGTAACTGAGGACTGGGGGAAGCTAACTGGTTCTAGAATAGTAAGAAAGTAACTGTACTGACTCCTGAGGAGATAAAGTATCAAATTATTGTTAAAAATTGACAAAATTATTTCAAAGCATTATTCAGATGCTTTGAAACCATTTAAAAATTATTTTGTAATTGTATTAAATATGAATATAAATGAACTGTTCTCAGAGTTAATCTTTAATCTGAATCAGTGTTCTTTACCAGTGTTCTTTATCACTGAGTAGAAGGAAGCTATTCTATATAAATGAAGAATCTGTCTGATCATTTCTTACGAGTATTTATATCTGCTATACATAAATAAATTGTTCTGTCCAGGAACAATCAGATCTCTTTTATAACTCTTCATGACTGAGATTTCATTTTGCTTTCCAAAATGCAGAGTAAAGAGGAAGTAGTAAAGATAAAATTATCTTGTTTGCAGACAATTCTCAGGCTTAACCCCAAACGCTATTTTGACAGCTAATCATAATAGTCTGCATATGAAATATTTTAAAGATAGTTCCTCTACAGATAAAAAAGAAAGTTGCAACTGATATACTGTGTACAAAGGACAAACCAGTGTAAAAATGGTTATTTATTTGCAAATTAACATGTTTTAGGAATTAAGTTTCCAACACTATTTAGGAAATATATAAAGTACCAAAGACATCTGGAAGGAATACAGAGAAAAATACGCATTTCAAGAATTGTACTTTTTACTTATTTGCCCAACTGGATGGAAAAGTAAATATGAATAAGTAAAAAAACAATTATCTAAATGTGGCAAACAAATTAATAAGTACAACTATCCTTTGAAAGCACAAAACATCTAAAGTTTTTGGAGCTGTATTCTAGATGACTCTCTTAGTCCTTACTTAATAATGAGGGAAAACTAATCTGAAAATAATTAAGTATCTTTATATTTACAATGAAAGGAAAGGGGTGATTCTCAAATTTCTTGTTCAAACATCTAATTTTATGTATATGGATGCTAGCTAAGTGTTTTGCTTGCAAATGTTTGAACTTACCTCCACTTGCATATTCCATGATTAAGTAGAGTGTTTTTTCAGTCTCAATTACTTCAAATAATTTAACTGGAACAATAACAAAAACAAAAAGAGAGAGAGAGAGATAACTGGTTTAGAGATGCTATCAGTTATACATATCTACTTGGACAATTTTTGTCTATGTACTTCATTCTCCTATCTGATATTCCAAGTGAGTGTTATCAAATATCGTAAATATTGATAAAATACTTATTTTAATCAAGTTTTCCCTGGCATGCAAGAACAGCAAGGTATTGTTAAGCACATTACTAGTACAAATTTGGCTCCTTATGCAAATTGCCATCCCAATTTTCTACTTAATGTCCTTTTGCTAGAAATGCTAAGGACTGACTCTAAAAAGTATGTTGTTTTCACTGAGTCATAGCCTCTCCTTAAGCTGAACTGCATATTCTATAATTAAAATCACAGGGGAATCTCAAAAGCAGTTTACAGGCAGGGATGAATATTCATAGAAAAAATGTCAAAAGCCTCACGAAACATTTGTCTAAAGAAAGCTCTCTGCATTGTAGCAGTAGCATTTTTTTTTTCTCTATTAGGTGATGCAGACTAAAGTTGCAGTACTGAAACCACGTACAAAAGCCATAAGACCAGATCCCTAAGTGGTTTCAGAAAGCACCAACTGATTATGTTTTAGGAAGCCAACTTTTTCCCCCTAGGAGAACAAATCAAAGGCTAATGCAGAAACATTCAAGTGATACTATCCTGTTATTTCACAATCACATATAGGAGGTTTAATACACTAGGTAAGTAAACGTATATTAGAGTTTGTGGTATACAAGGCAACTAAATCTATTCAAATAAGCAAGCTAAAGCTATAGTAATGAAGTAATAATACCAAGATATTATATCAATCATACAAGAATAGACAGTCATAACCTAGCTCTCAATTGAGTATCTCACAATTCTCACTTGAAATCAACACAAGATTCGCTTTAGACATCTTCTCAAGATAATATAAGAATTCATTAACGCTAACAATAATTTTATTTTAAAATCTGAAAATCAACTTTTGCCATTATCACTCTTTCTTAAGGAAGTCAGAGAATCATGAGTTCTATCTAGCTGACTAGGAGTCAAAGAGAAAGTTTTATTAGGAACAATTAAAATCCTAATGATACATCTTAGCTCTGAGCCAAACAGATGATATGGGAGTTGTATTCCCCCATTCAGAGGTGTTTCACAATTTGGGGGTCCTATTGGGCTCATAGTTCCTGCTCAATCAGGAAGCAGCAGCTGTGGCAAGGACTTTTGTACCGTTACATCTTATGTACCAATTGTGGCCATTCCTGGATCAGGGGGCTCATAATTACTCATGCCTTAGTGACCTTCCATTTATATCACTATACTACATGGAGCTGCCCATAGAAAGTATTTAGAAACTACAGCTGGCAGCTTCTAAAAGGCAGTGACCCAGGAAGTGATGCTTGTCTCAAGTGATTCCACCATTTTGGAAACTGTTTTGGTTGCTGGTTGGCTTCTGGATGTAATTCAAGGTGTTGGTTGTCACCTCTAAGGCTCTACATAGCTCTGGACTTGAGTTATCTGAGGGACCACCTTCTGCCTTATTCATACACAAATCTGATCAGGTCAAATCAGGTCAACTTCAGACAAAGCTTGATAAAAGTATGGAACCTTACAAGAAAAATAATAAGTCCATCAATTTCACTGCTAGTCTGTCCTTTAAATGCTTTTTATGCTGGAGACAACTACAAAGTGGAATTACATATGTAAATATGGTCCATTCAGATCCCACGAATAGACACAGGAAGAATTATCTGGCAAAGGCTGCAACATACCATAGCTAATGTACCTACAAATTGTTGGAAGAATATAAACTGGCTTTAAAAACGAGGGAGGGCTTCTAAGAAAAATGACAGAATTTGAAATGCTCATATAGAATCAATACCATCTATTAAGCGTATATATAAACTGTTACTTAGATATGACACTGAGACAGAACAAATGAAAAAATGGATGATAAAATGGATGCAAAACAATACAATTATGAAACAAATCTATAAAATTTACTCCAAATTATAACTTAAGAGAAAACTGGTATAAAATGTTTTATACTGTAGATGGTATACATCTCCGTCAAAAATTGCCAAGATAGACAAATCATATAGTAATACATACTGGAAATACCATGAGACAGAAAGACATGTAAGGACATGCCCATATGGGATGGACATGTAAAAAAAACTCTAAAGTACTGGGTAGAAATACACAGCACTATTCGGAGAATTTGAAATGAAACTACATTTTTTTAAACTAGGCATTATTCCAAGACATATCAACAAAAAATAGTTTGATTTTTTTTACTAAGATACATGTTCACAGCCACAAGGATAAACTTAGCACAATGCTGGAGACACGTTACTGATATCAGACCAGGAACTTAAACCTTGGAGAATATGCAGTTATGGCAAAATTAACGGCATATATTCATACTAGAAGTTTGACCAAATTTAAGCAAAAGCAACTTCCATATAAATTACCCATTATGCAAAAAGTATGGTTTTTAAAGAGAAAATAATTGACCAAAGAATTGAAATCAGAAATACATGAAAATTGTAAATATTTATAAATATTGTATATCTGTCAGAGTACAACAAAAGGGAAGTTAGAAACTAAAACTTTGCTTCTAATGTTTTTAGTAGTTTTTTTCCCTTCCTTTTTAATGGTATCTTTAAATAACAAAATAAAAGAGACTTTAGCATTCAGCTCAGAGATTCAAAAAGATCTTTAAAATCTTTTCCTTATTGTTAAAAATAACAATGTATTTTGTTTTCTATGATTAATTTCCAATCAACGATATACTGAGAGCTAACTGTACAACTTTCGCAACTTCTTTGTCCACTTACTGATATTATAACGTTGCATCATGTTTTCCTTTCTTCCTTTTTTGCTTCTTTTTTTCCCCCTTCTCTTTTTAAAAAAGATTAATAATATTTTAAAAATATCAGGTTAACTTCCTCCGGGTCCTTTCTATGTGCCATTTTTAATTGCTACCACTGTATTTTGGAATTCCCTCCTTATGGAGACAGCTTCCTCCTTCCCTCCTGGGATTTAGGAGAGCAATTAAGGTGGTTGTTCCATCTAGTGCAGGAGGAAGGCATGCTATGAATGACTGTTGGAAACTGATGGGCACATAACTTTGTATATTTTCTCTTTATTATTTTGTTGTCAATTTGGAGATTATTTATTACTTTTGAGCAAGTTGCTTTTTTATTTGATGCCGATCTAGATTGTTACCCTTCAGGAATGGACAACATGCAAATGAAGCAAATAAATAATGAAAAGAATATCCAAAGTGTTTAAATTTACAATGATTTCATCCTAGCTGCAACTGTTACGGTTTTTGAAACCTTTTCTTCAAAAGCAGTTGAAAGAAATCAAAATGGCCTTGAAGTAAACCAGGAAGAAACATTATTGCTCAGCTTCCTAATACTGTATATGCACACAATATCATTTAGTTGTTTGTGCTAGGATATTATCTATGTTTAGATAAAGAAGTGATAGATATTTATAAATTAATTTGAACAGAGATGAGCATATTGCTACTGGAAGAAATTTATAGAAATAAGGCAAATGGCCTTCTGGTATTAATGCATCCATTTTTCGTAATTATAAACTCTCTATATTTCATCTGGTTAGTTAAGTCTCAAGCTAAGATTACAATTTTTATTCAATTTCCGGTGAATTTATGAATCTTATTAAAGAACAAGTCTTCCTACATACATGATTATTACAAAATTTAGTACTAATTGAGAACTAAACATTGCTACAGAATGATACTGATTAGAGACATACAAGATTCAAAATGATTCCTCTCAAATAATTCTTCAAATTAATATTCACAGCTGAAACATATACTCAGATGACATCTCAGAAAACATGTGATCTAATTCCTTGCTTTTCTCAAATTAGAATCATATGAACACAGCTACAATACTAATTAATGTATGGTTTTTTTGAACTAGGTGTTCTTTAGCATGGCAGCTCCAAAGAACACTTGAACTACATATCTTGAGAAAAAAAAACATTAATTTAAAAGAAAAAAGAAGAAAAATGTGAGTTTTTTCTGACTGGTTTACAATAATAAAGAATCCCTGACATATATATAATGTAATCAGTGTTGACGACATGAGAATTTAATCCAAGAGTAATACTCTCCTAGCAGCTGCAAACTAGTTACCTCTTTATTCTCTTCAATATCTAAACTACAAAATTGCTAACCCAAAGAAATATGTACAGTAAAATCTAATTTCAATACTGGTATTTACTTTTAAACTGGTTGGAACCGATTAAGATGATATAATTCAATCTCATTTGAAAATAAATGTTTGTCTGGATTATAAATTCAACATGTGCAACACTCTGCTGAATGCTGCAGAGCTGCAGCAGATCCAAATATCTTAAGGGCAGATGATTAGTATCTTGAAACTGGGGAAAATTTTTCCAACCAGATAAATTATTTTATGGATAACTTTCCAGAAGTTGTATATCAGCAGCAGATCAAATGGAATGTAATGGTGCATACCATTTATTAAGGCTATTAGATCTGAGCTGCAAAAAAAGTTTACTGCCATTCAGTGGCCATCTACATTTTTTTCAGTCTAGATCTGGAAGCCTATATTCTTACCCTCCATTCATATTTCCCCCAAATCCTTTCTGCATTTCTTTCATAATCCTTTTCCCCAGCAACACTTCTAAACCTTTTCTTGCTCTCTCTCCTCTAGTGCTCTCTGGTGTCATCTTCTATCCACGTCCTTGCTTTATTCTCTATTACTCCCACTCTTTTTTCCTGTGTCTTCTTCCTCTCCTGTTACCTTGAAGCTCCTCAACATGTCACCCAGGTGAATGAGGGCTTGCTTGGGGATGGAGGAAGACAGAAACAAAGCTGAATAAGTGTTTGTTGAGAGCAGCCCAAGCCTTTCCAAAAAGAATTAATCTAAGTAGGGCATGCTGGAGCAGATATAAAGAAGAATAGTGCCCAAGGTAGTAAGACAACTGCACAAAAGACAAAACCAGGGCAGAACCAAACATAGAAAGCAGTCTCTTCAAATGAGTGGGACCAACTGAAAAGCTTTTCAAGATGCATCTAACCCACTGGTTCCCATATCTCAACAATTAATATTCTTCAATATACTTCAGAAAAAATCTGGATTATCAGCTGCAGTGGATATGTACAACTGCTTCCTCTGAAAGGGAACAAATTGTGGGCAATAGAAAGTATTCATATACATCCAGAGGGCTTCTGACTTTGAAAACTGCCTTCCCCTGCAGAATGCTGCAACTACTTGAGTTATGAATGAGCCAATGCTATCTGTGCTATCTGCTCACAATATACTGCAGAATGATTGGTGATATTATGATGAGTCCATTGATTCTGCCTTGCAGCAAATAAGTAAGGGAGAGGCACGCACAGTAGAAATGTTTCACATGCAAGAGATAACCATGTAATCAATCTGCTTACCAGGACTTTTGACTTTTAAATTGAGTATGGTTGCATGCTTGTGAAAACTCTGGAAATATGGGAAGATACTGAATGCAGCAGGGGAGAATGATTCATGCTCTTTAAAAAAAATTGATGTGGATTGTGAAGATGCTATATGTACATATTTACACATATATTTCAAAAATACATACTTGAATGCATAAACAGATCTATGCAGAAAGAGAACATTTAAATCATACTCTACCTATATTGGGATGATTTAAAATCTTCATTATCCTTACTTCCCTAAACAGCTAGAACAAAAGAAAATTAAAAAGTTAGTATTACATAGCCAGCAACTGTGAGAGCATGTGCATGTAAGAATGTTAAGGCTGTAATCATATTGAAGAGCCTGGAAAATTACAAGTATACCAGAAAAAAACTGTAAAAGAAATAAGTGCTTCCCCCCCGCTTCAAATACAAGCAAACATACTTTGAAGACCAAGTTTTAATACTAAAAAAATTTCAGAAGGACATTCAAGCTTCTTTCAGGTTTTCTTAATATGAACATTAGAAATAACTTTAGTTCAAGTGCCAAAGCTAGAACATTCTAACAATATTTTACAATTTGATGAGTGACTGGAATCTGTCCAGTTCTGAGTCAAAATCAAGTATTTATCTCAAAAAAGTTACACAATAGCATTTGTAATTTTTTCAACAGCTTAGTAGAAATATTTAATAGGAAAGGTGTTGGGAAGGAAGAAGACTTACTCCAGTGTGAAGACAGAAAAACAACAAAGCATGACATGTTCACCAAGATTTTTGTTATGGCATATCTTGCTTATAATATAAATTGAGATTTGCGTATACCAAATTCAACTACAGAAACATAGTCAATGAAAAACTTCCATGCCTAATCTAACTGGTTTGACTCTCTATAACAGTTCCCTCATTCAATACTGCTTGCTTAGATGATGTAACAAAGACTAGCAGAAAACAAGTGATTTATGGTCCTGAGAAATTCTGCTCCTAATAAAATTCTGGATATTTTTATTTATTAATTTTAGTACATTTATATTCTACCTTCTTTTTATATCTATCTATCTATCTATCTATCTATCTATCTATCTATCTATCTATCTATCTATCTATCTATCTCTATCTAAATTTTTATTAGAAATTTTTACACAAGTAAAATATAAACATGAAAATATATAAAGTAGAATAAAGAAAAACATAAAAGATAAAAGTGCAAGAAATAGTAGACAGAAAAAGAAAAAAAGGAAAAGATATATAAAGAAGTGACTTCTAATTTTCTTTACAGCAGTTACAAACTTACTACCTCTCCTCTCTAAGATTACATTACATGAATACTTTCTATATTCAACCCTTTTTAATCAGCAATCCATAAATCATCAATTCATTTTTTTCCAATTTCAGCAAAAAGTCCATGAGAGTTTTTTTTAATGAAAGTACTTATTGAGTTATCCCTGATCAAGCAGGTCAGTTTTTCCATTTTTCACAAACCACTCCTCCATTGTGGGTATTTCGTTGTTTTTCATCTTTGTGCATATAGTAGTCTCGCTGTGTATCCAACCTTCTTTTTTGTCCTGGAAGTCAGGGCAGCATACATGTGCTTCCCAAGCAACCTACGTAAGCTGCAACCATATGCAGTACATTTTCCATCATGAAGTATGTTCTTGTTCCAAAGGCCATCAACTATGCTAATACAGGTAGTCCTCAACTTAGGACCACAACTGGGACCGGAATTTCTGTCACTAAGTAATGCAGTTGTAAGTCATGTGAATGCATCGCTTAGCAACCACAATCCCAGCAGTCCCAGTTGCCATCATTAACTGAGAATTGAGGGTTGTTAAGTGAGTACCCACCCCAATCCAAGCCATTCTGGTCTTGGTCTGTCCCAGTCCTGAGCCTCAGTAAGGTAAGGGATTGCCTCCAACTCCCACCACCCACCTATCTCCCCCCATCTCTGCCCTTCTGGGCGTTTTGGTGAGCTGCAGCTCAGGGCTGTTTTTGGCTTTTTCTTCCGCAGCTGAAGCTCAGACCAGCCAGGCCCAGCAGCATGCCAAGCATGCCTTGTCAGCAGCAGGAGCAAGAAGACAGCAAAGGACAGCTGGAGTGGCAGAGCCCAGGGTGACGGGGGGGAGGGCATAGACGAGGGGAGACAGGCAGAATGGGGGGAGTTGAAGTGCCCTGTGGTCATAAATGCAGGCTGGCTGCCAAGTGCCAGAATTTTGATCACATGACTGTGGGGGTGCTGCAATGGCCATAACTTTGGGCACTGGTCATAAGTCACTTTTTTCAGTGTGTTCGTAACTTCGAATGGTCATTGAACAAATGATCATAAGTCGAGGACTAACTAGGTTCCTTTACATTGCCACTGTACATTCCATGGTTGCTAAGCATGCTTTGGCCTTCTTTGAGTACAGGTAGTCCTTGGGTTATGATGGCAATTGGGACCAGAATTTCTGTTGCTAAGCGATGCAGTCATAAAGCACAATGTCACATCACTGCATTGCTTAGCAATGGCAATCCTGGCAGTCCCCACTGCTGTTGTTAAGCAAGGGCTGTGAGTTGTTAAGTGAGGTCTTCCTGTGACCACAACTTGCGACTTCCTGCTGGCTTCCAATGAGCAAGGTCAACAGAGAAGTCAGCAGCAAGCCACAAGTCCTGATTGGCTTGCAAGCAGGCTGGCAGACAGGTGAGTGCTATGAACTGCAGGTGGGGATGCTGTGCAGCCAGGTGGGCACTACGGACTGCAGGTGGGGGGTGCTTCAGATTCCTTAGGAGAAAAAGTGGCAGAAGCAACTTATGGGGGTGACTTGCGACCTTCCCTGCCAGCTTCCCCACTGACTCTGACTCTCCTACACCGTTCACCTGAGTTGGATGTACATACCCTCAAATTAAAGCTGACAGTCTGCAGTTAAGGCACAATGTGTTTGTTT